TGAGTGTAAAAAATCTCTTTTTATAGATCCAATGGATGTCATTGTGGGATACAGGCAAGTTGGATTATTCCATTCAGACCTCAGTTTCGGGAAAAAACTGGCATTATATAATTGAGTTCTTGGTATAGGAACGTCAAAAATTCTATTGTGGCGAAGATGATAATTGTCAGTATTATCATTAATGTACGGTTGAATTATATCATAGACATGAGAGGGACATTTCCTATTATATATTTTATAAAAAGTAATATTTTGATGCAAATGTCTTCTTCTATTAAGTGTTATAAAACCAGATTCTCTATATAAGATAGCATGACTTGTTCCACGTCTTAACCCTGAAATAATATGTGCTGCTTCTAGTTGGATAGACTCCAAGACACTGCATTCATTCTGCGTGCAGTTTGCCCATATAATATTTGCATATTCCAGAATTGGACGTATAAATGTGATATATATAGTTTCGAGTGACTTTCTATCAATTTTGTATTTCAACATTCTAAGTATATTGATTATTTTATAGCCTTTTTCGTATATAAAGTTTATGTGGTTAGACCAATTAGCCTTGCTGTTGAAAAACAAACCTAGGTGTTTATGATTAGGAACATTAATAATTGATGATTCATCAAAATATAGGTTAGGATGCAGTGTCACAGAGTCAACCCGCCTCGAGAAGAGCAGGGCTACAGTTTTATCTGGATTAAAGATAATTCCCAATTTTCTAGCTGAGATTGAAATTTTCCTTAGATCATCATTTAATATATTAGCACATTCTTGCCTGTCTCCCTCAATGAGACCATATAAGGAGGTATCATCAGCAAATAGTTTGAAGTTTGAGGCCAATTCATCACCAATATCATTAATATATATAGTAAAAACAAAAAAGGACCAAGGACTGAACCTTGAGGTACCCCTGCCTGTAATGTTTTCCAATTAGACTTATACCCATCTATGACCACTCTCTGTTGCCTATCATGAAGGTATGATGTCAACCATTCTAACATATTATTACATATACCATATTTTTTTAGTTTATGAATTAGACCGTCATGCCAAACTATCTCAAAGGTTTTTGCTAATATCACAGAAAATCATTCTGGCCTCTTTGCCTTTGTCTAAATGTTTTACAATTTCATCGTATATAATTAATAGTTGATACACTGTGGAATCCTTAGGTAAAAAGCCTGACTGATTCTTAGAAATAATGTTTTATCTTGAGAGCTAATTGAACATATACTTAAACACATTTTTTTCAAATAGCTTGCTAAATATAGGGGTAACAGATATTGGTCTATAGTTGGATGGATCACTTTTATCTCCCTTGCCCTTATAAATTGGGGTAACATGAGCATTTTTCCATCTATTTGGTAGCTTTCCGGTAGAAATAGATTTGTTGAATAAGAGATAGAGTGGTTTCACAAGAGATTGGGAAACCCCTTTTAGGAATTTTGGAGGGATGCTGTCAGGGCCTGAAGGTTTATTAGTATTGAGTAGATCGAGCTGATCAACAATGTCCTGTTCGGTTATGTCTATTGTTGAAAAGTTATGTTGGGGTCGGGGGCAGTCAGGAGGTAAATCGTCAGCATTCTTTTCAGTTGCGGAAATCGAAGTGAAATCATCGTTAAAATATTCCGCTTTATCTATGGGGTGGATTTTCAGTTCGCCGTTGATAATCAATGGAGAGTCATTTTCGTTTTTTGTTTTTGAGATTCATAACCGATTTTGCAATACGCCACCATTTTCCGGGGGGTATGGTTTTATCAATTAAAGAAGATTGAAGTTTAGATAAATATTTTTCTTTAGCTTCCCGGACTAAGGATATAACTTCATTCCGAATAGATCTAAATTTTGCCCAAAAAGCTGGAGTATTATGTAGCTTAGCTTTGGAATGCTGGCGATTTCTTTGTCTAATTTTGAGTCTGATACCTTTAGTCATCCAAATTTTATCATTAGGTCTTATTGTTACTGTTGTATGTGGCACGAATAGGTCGATAGCAGTTAGGATTTTATCAGTTAAAAGAGAGTTCATATTTTCAATATCACCTTGTAATAAAAGATTCCAGTCAATGGACTTAAGATACTCATTTGCCCCGTCAAAGTCAGTGTTATTGAAGTACAATAAAGTCTTTTTATATGCATGTTTCTTTTAAGTTTTAAATTTCAGATCAGTGCTAACTGGACAGTGATCACTACTAGCGGGAAGAGGTACTATTGTATTTTTAATAAAGTTAACTTGCTCGTTAGTATAGTGTCAAGTGATGTTGAGATCTGGGAAGTGAATCCTGGTAGGTTCAGTAACAGTGTTTTCTAACCCATATTTCAACAAAATTCTATGTAGATGTGAGTCTGGATTTAGATGTAACATGTCTTGATTTATATCCCCTACCAGGACCACTTCCCTTTGCAGATCAATAATATTATTTAGGTTAATATCTAGCCTGTCCCAGTAGCCAACGAGAGCCATTTTGTGTTGGTCTATATCGGTGATGAGAGGGATGGTGAGCGACGTATACTGTTCTGGAGGATTTCATCATTGAAATCGGCCAGGAACGAGTCTACAGTAGAGTTCCGATTACCTAGTAATCAACCTTTGGAGTCAGAATGATGTTATGTCTGACATTTCCTACCTCAGTAGGGAATGTAGCCAATTTCCTTCTCAACACAAAGTATGAAATTACCTCAAATCTATTACAGTATATAACAAAATTTGTCAAGGACAAACATTAAATTTCCTACAATGTATCAAACTATTAATTATAACAGACATGGAAAATAAACTGTGACACTTTATCCTTCTGTCCATTAAAATATCGCATTAAACACGAATGAGGCTGTTTTTAATAACCTATAATGACAGATGGTGACAGTTTAAAATTGCGTAAAAAATTGATTTCGATAGGAAAATGAGTCTTAGACATATAAACAAATGCTAAATAGCACTGCTGGGACGGGAGAAATTTCTACAATTTATACTTGTCTCTTATATGTATTGTATCAGATCTCTATATAATCAGCCTAAACTAAACCTTGATTATTCTGTAAACAAGAACATTTTGTAACACATGTCTATGTAAATTAACCTTTAACTGTATATATATATACATCTTTGGGGCTCCTAAATCCCAGTCTTCTTACACTCCAATCCCAAATGATACATTCAAACCTGTATTAAACAGACCAACACGAGGAACTCAAAATATTGTCCTCTTAACACAGGTGGTCATTTAATACAGGTTCAGGTCACAAAGAAATCACCATTAAAATATTAAACGTTGTCTTAACACAGATGGTTTCTTAATACAGGTGGTTGTATGATCAGACTTAACTAAATGAACATCAGTCTTAAAACAAATAAAATTTGAACTCAAATATTGCAGAATTAAACTTTCTGTACATTGGCAGATGAAATATGGTGTCAAAGATCATAAAATGGTACCGAACAAGACAGCAAGATCTTCACCAGGTTATGGTTGGTAGTTGTTTCTCAGAGGTACAAGATAGTACCACTGAATTCTGCTTAATATCACTTATTTGCCAGATGAAAACATTGATATTAAGTAGAATATGACATTAACAGATGATCCGTCTTTTTATATTAATTTGTTTTCAATATGCAAGTTTGATTAAAATCTATAGCATCTGAACAAAACCTTGCAATTTAAAGTAAAGTTCTGCATATCTGATATCTCATCATCAAACTATGAAATATTGACATCAGTTATGTAGGACCCTTTAAACCCGATCTTTATTTACAGACCACCATCTTCCTTTATACTAGAAATCTGATGGCATTTACAGCCCCGGGCTTTTAAAGGTGATATATTTCTGAAATCTGATAAAAGTAGCAGAACCAGCACCAATTAGACAAAGCTCCATCATTTGTGATTGAAAATCAATGCAAGGCATAGTTTAATAGACTCAGAAAGCACTAGCTATAAAAATTCTAAAATTTATATGGCATGATATTGCGTGGAGATATCTAACCTTGAGGAATGTCACAATACAAAATGTAAAATAGATCAATAAAAAAACGCGGAAATATTTTGTAATGGAAGACCTGAAACTCCATTTAGATTTCATTTCTGAATAATTCCTTCACTTGATATTTCACCACCTCTAATCAAAGCCAACACGATATTAGTGCTTAGTTGATAGCGATGTGATTGAACCTACATCCCGCTATAAGTCAAACATGTAGAGTCCCAAAACAGATTCCAGGAAGATTCCATTGTTGATCACAGGGTTGACAGGGCTTGCTTTAAGATTCTAGTAATGATGCCTATAAAACTTATTTTCTGTTCCCATGGTAACAATTAGGTACTCTTGTAATAAACACCATGTCAACAACTTTCTGTAAAAACGGGTAGAGAGTCGCGTAGAGAGTCGTGTAGAGAGTCGCACACATCTGATGAAGGCGTATAAGGACAAGCTAATGTTGATCTCAAATACAATCACACGATTTACGATGAAGCCTTTTGGTGATCAAGACATACATACAATTTATTACCACGGAGAGACGACAGAAGAGAATCACGTTACAATGAAGATATAGCATCTCGAAATCCAGAAATAAACTTGGGGAAGTGAGAGAGAAAATCCATTTATTTTTCCTTTAAGATCCAATTTAAACTATATTTAGCCCTTTCTGTTTAATTTACATTTAGAGAATTCCTCTTTTACATCTAATTAGACATACAATGTATATATATACTCCCAATGAAATCTTATCAAAAAGTCTCTTTCCTAGTGTGAAATTTGCCAACCGTTTGAATCAATATTACATAACCAATAGCATTGGAATCGTCCCCTGGAATTTACCCTGGAGTTTTCTCTCCTACATACACTTCCTTAGGAACCCATCTTCAAAAGACATTGGAAAACAAAACAAAAACAAAAGTTCTAGAGGGAAGATCGTTCCAACACCAGTAGTTAAAGTCAATTTCCTGCACTGTTTCCTAAGTAAAATATACTCCAACCCTGGGTACCACTTTATAACCACTTACCGTTGACGGATGAGTCAATGTAGTAAGCGTCTGAGAGACCAATTTTGACTGGATGGCTCGATCTGTTGATCTCCGCGATAGCCAGGGGGAGCTGTCAACAAACAACGGATGGGAAATACTGTACAAGTTGAAGACAACGTATAGCTTGATTTAAGTTTTTTTTCAAAACTAGGATAGATCTGTTTTTTTATTTTATTTTTGAAATATAAATCCGCTCTTATTAATGTCATACTTGGTAACATTTTGAAATTTCCATAGGGGACAATACGCTTGCTTAAAAAACCATAAATAAAATGTGGAATGTACACATTCAGGGAAAAAATAACACTTTTAAAGGGCATCTTTTGGCCTGTTTCAACAGGTCTTAAAAAATTAGAATTGTTTTAGCTGATTTACTGTTTAAAAATGCTCACTTTTAGGGTCCAAATCAGGAATCCCCCTCCAAATAGGGATAGTTATAGAACGCCCACCCATCTCTATTATATATAATCATCCATGATCCCTCGTCTCCTCTCTGTTCTCTGACCAGTATCCTAGCTCTATCGTACCCAGTATAGCACCTAGCTTTCCTGAACAGCATGGTTTGTGATACCTAAGATTTCTAAATTTCGAGACGGAGATTCAACAGCTTTTAAGTCCCAATGAAAACGTCCATGAACATTATGGTGTCAAGGTCCTTAGGGTGCTCCAGTCTGGTGACAAGTGCTTCAGATGGGTCGTTGACATGTTGTTGCAATTCTCACAAGGCCCTCTATCTACACATATTTTAATCTTTCTTGGGATTTTAATTAAGAATCTGATGTTTGTCAATGGCTTAATGGCTGTTGAGATGTGTGTGACATCTGATCAGGCAGTCTACTGCCTTTAGGAGTCCTTTTAACATACATAATTACCACCATTCCCTTGTTCTCATTTTCCACTGTTTTTTTTGTTCTCTTTGGCTGTATTCACTTCCATTTAGCTTCCTATCTCTGTCTGAATAAGCCACTTATCTTAAAAGCAGATTTCCATATTTCTAATTCTGATTTTTTGTGCTCTTTGCATTATATCCAAAGAAATATTTAAGGAGCCAGTGGATAAAAGGTCATATACATCAGACGGGAGAGAAGAAAGACCTCAACGAAGGCCACCACCAACTTCGTCATGTACGTCATGTGAACGTTAATGGGGGGAGGGGGTTCCTAGCCACACTTCATTACATAACCAGGTAGGACGAGTCCCTGAACAGCTCATGTTAAAATTAAAACCTATTCTTATTGTTAAAGAGAAAATCTTCATTAAAAAAGAAATAATAGTTTACTTTTTTAAGGTCAAAGATCTGATCACTGCCAGTTCTTATTATTTTCATTTAAATTATTTCTTTATCACGTGAAAAAGGATATTGATTGATTATCAATATTTAAGTGAAATTGTTAACTACCAAACTTAAGGGTAACTGTCCCACTGCAGGTAAAACACTAGAGAATTTCACTGTATTTTTTCGTACATACAGTAATCTCCCTTTAATCTTGGGTATAACTGTACTTTGATTGGTCCAGGGACTTCTACAATTGACCAGGAAGCTAAATTGGTTAGAGTGACACTCAGAACAATGTTGCAAATTATTTACTAGGCTTTTTTTAAACTAAAAAAAAAAAAAAAAAATCCTGCAAGGTCAGGTTTTCTTTTCAGAAATGATTTACCAAAACCAGAGTCATGTCAATGCATAGTACACAGCTTATGACAGTGGTACTGGGAACCTTAAATGACATGTATATAAAAATACCAGATACTCACCTTTTTGTATATAAATTTTATTGTGCCATTGTCATACAGCTGTGTTTGGAATACAAATGGATTCGCTGAAACAACAAAATAATACTATTTGGATACATGGTGAGACGAATAGCAATTATACAGAACTTCGTGCCAGCACATTTGCTACTAGATCAATTAGTAAATAGGTCATAGAAATGAATGGTTAGGGTTGAATAGTGTGAAAACTTAAGTTTGTACAAGTACATGATATATGGTAATTGGTGAAATAAACGATTTGTTGCTGAGCAGAAGAAAAAGTAGGGGAGCCAAGAAATACTGTTCCCCAGCATTAGGTCACTGAAATATACAATCTGCAGGAACCTGTCTATCTCAAAGGTAATTTTATGACAAATAGCGTATTTATGTATTTAGTATAATAATGTATATGTATGATATAACTATTATTGTCAGCCCCTGTCTGCTTTGTCAACTGCATATAGAAACAGACATCTTGAGGTCCAGTTCTTATGTTACTATGCTATATATTGGCATCAATTGTTCATTGTCAGATGAGACTGATAGGGTAACATCAATTGTTCATTGTCAGATGAGATTGGTAGGGTAACATCAATTGTTCATTGTCAGATGAGATTGGTAGGGTAACATCAATTGTTCATTGTCAGATGAGATTGGTCGGGTAACATCAATTGTTCATTGTCAGATGAGACTGGTAGGGTAACATCAATCGTTCATTGCCTTCTTATGATAGCATGGATCTGATGATGACTTTGTAGTGCAAATGAATTTGCATGCTAAAGGCACCCAACAGCGACATCAAAGTGCTACCTCACTAAAATACTGTGCCGAAGTTACTCAATCAGTACACTGTCATCAGCATGGTCCATCTCTGAGAGGTACTTTGGGTAGTTTTGGTTCCTAACACTTACTGTGGTTCTGGTCCTGTAGGTATATATCACTCCATTCCACGATAAACATGTCCTCTGGAAAATAGAGAAATTCATTAAGTACATAAAAGTATATTTATATTATATAACATGATCATTATATGTCACTTTGTTTGTCAAATATTTTCAAAGATGACAATAATGTAATTATACAGAAAAAATAATGTTGAAATGACACCAATTAGCAAAAGACTTTCCAATTTCTAAAGTCAAGCCATCACAATACTAATGCATCTTGCTGACACTTTAAGTTCAATACAGAATATTTGATTCAAACGTACAAACTTGGTAAAGCTTCATTTTAGCACAGAAACCTTTTACATTATTCTTGCTGAATACAATTAACTTTCTCGGAGAGTGTTTTATTTTTTTCTTTAAATCAAATTTCTGCAAACTTTGTATTCCGTCATGTGTCTACATGCTTCAAAAAACACATTTATAAGAACATGTTAAGGAAATCAATCATCATTTGATGGCTCAATGATTTAGTTTTATTTTCATACCTCCATGAAAAATTGAGATTAAGAAGATAATGTTCTCGTAAAAAGGTAGTTGTTGAATATTAACCTTTTTTCAGTTTTATAACTGACCTTTAAAGATCTTTACTTAACAGAATTTTAGTTACAGTTCCTAACACAGCTTGGCAGAATGCAAAAGAAGCAGGACTACAATATTTAGCAGGAATAACATCTGTTTAGTGTTTATTGATTTTTCATTAACAGGGTTATAATAAGAATAAAACTGCCACATGTTTGGCATGTAGTCTAACAGTAGATCTATGACGGTTGTCATGGCAACATGCCGCTCCTTCATCTTTTAAATGTTCCAATCTTTCATCAAATTACTTCAGGTTCCGTTTATCACTTCACTCATATCTTTTATTCATGAATACATTAATTCACAATTTAGAGGATGTTGTTTCAATATTGAGAGTGATTATCAATAGCTTTTACGAAATTAGTTTCCTTGCAAATTAACAGGAAAATTAATCTTTCATGACACAACAGATGATATATCTCTCTAACTGATCAAATTTATGTTGGAACAGATACTGGAATGACCATTACTGACCATTCTACACATCAGAAACACTGTTGTTTACACATATTAATCTTCCCAGGTCATCTGATCTATATTTTGTAATGTTGTATATCTAACATTATACTCAGTTTAAAACCCAACTGACCTTCTTCAGCTGATCAAAAAACAGCTCATAAATCCCCAATGGGATGGAACCGATGAAACAGTATTGTAATGACAACCAATTATTCTTTTACAAAGGAGAATAACTTTTGTTGCATAGAAATGAAAACATATCATAATGAATAAATCTAACATGGTTGGCTGTGGGATACCATGACCTTGACTGTGAGGTAGCATGACCTTGACTGTGGGATACCATGACCTTGACTGTGGGATACAATGACGTTGACTGTGGGATACCATGACCTTGACTGTGGGATACCATGACCTTGACTGTGAGGCTGCATCACAACAAATGTGAGAAAGCGTGACCTTGACTTTGAGGTAGCATGACCTTGACTGTGAGGTAGCATGACCTTGACTGTGAGGTAGCATGACCTTGACTTTGAGGTAGCATGACTTCGAATGTGAGGTATGTGGCCTTGACTGTGAGGTAGCATGACCTTGACTGTGAGGTAGCATGTCTGTTTATTGTCTATTTCATTCTGAGAAGTTATTTTATTTGTAAAATAAAATGTGTGAATCTCAGAAGAATAGCTTGTTATAAGCGAGGATCAAGACTGATGAGATTTGCTGGTACCCGCATGCGTTAATTTCTTGTTATTCCAGAAAAGTAAAACAAAATTGTAAAGCTCCAGAATGCAGTAAAACTATTCAAGTACCAATATGCACAGCTTTGTGATCTCAGGAAGAAACATCTTATTCTGATAAAGATTAACAAGAGGCCCATGGGCCTTAACGGTCACCTGATATATTTATACAGCGAGTTGATTTTGTTTTTAACATGTACAGAAATATTATTCAAAGTGACAAAACCAATAAACCCACCTTATTCAATATCTAGCATACAGATTTAAGACTAAAAAGTATTTGAAACTAGCACCTCTGATTCTAAACAAGGAGAATGAATAAACTTTAGCACACTGACTCCTTTGAGCCCCACCCTACAGCCCCTGGGGGTGGGGCTGGCTCAAAATTTTCAAAGTATCAAACTGTCAACTCAAGGCTATAATTCCAATCAAGTTATTAACATGTAATACTCAAAGTATCATTTGCCATTATAAACCATAATAAATAATGCCCCCCCCCCCCCTCCTTCCCCAGGGTGTAAACGTGAGACCCTAGGGTTATAAACCTTAAGACCCTTCCATCTATGAAGAGTGTTTGATTCTACCATATCTGGGTCTTTGAGAAGAAGATTTTTGAAATTTCAGTCAATTCAACCCTTTTTGGCCCCACCCAACAGCCCGGGGGGTCAGTCAGGGCTGATATGTGCATATACCATCAAAATGCTATCAAATACTGATAATGCTAACCCCAATTGAATAACTTCCAATGGAAATTAAACAAATGTTGGTCCAAAATGTGATTTCCCTATATAAACTATAGGAAAGTTTCCCCCTCCCCAGGGGTAAACATGAGACCCAAGGGTCATGAAATTCACAATTTTGGTAAAGCACCTTAAGACCCTTCCATCTACCATATCTTGGTCTTGACCTTGGTTTTGTGACAGTTTGACTTTGGTTTAGTGACAGTTTGACCCTGGTTTTGTGACAGTTTGACTTTGGTTTTGTGACTGTGACAGTTTGACTTTGGTTTTGTGACAGTTTGAACTTGATTTTGTGACAGAATGACCTTGGTTTTGTAACAGTTGGCTTTGGTTTTGTGACAGGATGACCTTGGTTTTGTAACAGTTTGACCTTGGTTTTGTAACAGTTTGACCTTGGTTGTGTGACAGTATGACCTTGGTTGTGTGACAGTTTGACCTTGGTTGTGTGACAGGATGACCTTGGTTGTGTGACAGGATGACTTTGGTTTTGTGACAGGATGACCTTGGTTTTGTAACAGTTTGACCTTGGTTGTGTTACAGGATGACCTTAGTTGTGTGACAGGATGACCTTGGTTGTGTGACAGGATGACTTTGGTTTTGTGACAGGATGACCTTGGTTGTGTGACAGTTTGACCTTGGTTGTGTTACAGGATGACCTTAGTTGTGTGACAGGATGACCTTGGTTGTTTGACAGGATGACTTTGGTTTTGTGACAGGATGACCTTGGTTGTGTGACAGTTTGACCTTGGTTGTGTGACAGGATGACCTTGGTTGTGTGACAGGATGACCTTGGTTGTGTGACGGTGTGACTTTGGCTTAGTCGCAGCCTGACTAACTAGTCCTATATCCTTTCAGTCTAGAATTGTATGCAACTTTTTAATATTCATCAGAATAAGATGTTTCTTCCTGAGATCACAAAGCTGTGCATATGGGTACTTGAATAGTTTTACTGCATTCTGGAGCTTTAGATTTTTTTTTTACTTTTCTGGAATAATAAGAAATTAACGCATGCAGGTACCAGCAAATCTTAACAGCCTTGATGACCTCCCTTATAACAAGCTATTTTTCTGAGATTCACACATTTCATTTTACAAATAAAATAATTTCTTAGAACGAAGTAGACCATATACAGTCACAACTGTGTACAGACCAGCGTTAATGACTTGGTAATACACTATGGAAAAGAATTGGCTCTTAGCCACGCAGACCAGCCAATATCATTAGGGGCACAGAGATTTAAAGAATTTTTATTTGTTAAATTGCATTGTTAAATGGAAATCACAGTAATGTTGAGTGAACTTGAGCCCCCACATGCCGTGTGTTGTGATGCTGCTAACCACAAACACATACTCCAGTTCTGTCTTGTTTATCTTTAATCAATTTGCATCCTTGAACTTGATATGTTCTCATCTAATTCTCTGTATTAAACCAATTACAGAGAGAGTGATACTGTAGCCTGGCTGCATGTGGCTTGGAGCCGGTGATAAAGGGCACGCCCCACAAGGACAATCGCAGACCGACCAGAATGTCGCCGTTCCGCGTAAAAAGATCTAAGAAGAACATCAAACCATCTCCATTTCTTTGGACAATAAGAAGACTTTAAGGAGCAAGATATAAAAAAAAAACTGTTTTAAACTGTCCCCATTTTTCTTGACTTCTTTTGACAACGACATAACGACTGTTTTAAAACGGTTTAAAAACAATTTCAAAATAATAAAACAAATCTGGAATTCCCACAAGCTTAAGACGGAGAAGAAGATTATCCTTGAAGGTAATATGAATTAATCAGAATTATTTGGAAACTAAATAGATTTGTATCAGATGATTTCCTTCAAAAAAGAAATTAAATTCTAATGAAAACCTGTTTCCTCATAGCAATAAACTCAATCAAGGATAATTCAAAAGATAAAGAGTGTTAATTAGACAAAAAGTTGTTTTCTGTAACCTTACCTACGAAATCTTCATACGCTAAACAAATTTGGAAACAAAATGTTATGTCATCAGAGAAAAAGATTTTTGTGTTTAATATGGAATCAAAGTTGATGGGAAAAAATCCATGTCATTCTTGTAGCTGATAGATTTGGTACCTAAGAAAAGGATGTTTCGGTACTTCTTTGTACCTGGTAGTTTTGTACCTAAGAGAAGGATGTTTCGGTACTTCTTTGTACCTAGTAGTTTTGGTACCTAAGAGAAGGATGTTTCGGTACTTCTTTGTAGCTGTTAGTTTTGGTACCTAAGAGAAGGATGTTTCAGAATTTCTTTGTAGCTGGTAGTTTTGGTATCTAAGAGAAGGATGTTTCGGTACTCCTTTGTAGCTGGTAGATTTGGTACCTAAGAGAAGGATGTTTCGCTACTTCTTTGTACCTGGTAGTTTTGGAACCTAAGAGAAGGATGTTTTGGTACTTCTTTGTACCTGGTAGTTTTGGAACCTAAGAGAAGGATGTTTTGGTACTTCTTTGTACCTGGTAGTTTTGGAACCTAAGAGAAGGATGTTTTGGTACTT